TTTTTGGAAGGGAAACAGAACTGCCTTTTGGCTCTCCCCGAAAAACACCTTCCTTTTTTGAGCCCATTTTAAAGGAACTCGAAAAAAAAATTGGAAAATATGAAAAGGTTACAGCTGAAAGCGTTTTAAAAAAAATAATAATAAAATTATTTAAAAAAGTTTCAAAAGAAACAAGAACAACAAACCAAAATCTTCCGTTTATAGAAAAAGACCTCTCCAAGGGTAAACCAATTTTATTATTTAGATCGAGAGAAATAGGTGGAATGGAAAAAGAAAAAGATTCTAGAATAAGCAACCAGATAATTGATGAATCTTTTAGTCAAATTCAAAAAATTCAAATTCCAGATTGGACAAATTCTTCACTGATAGAAACTAAAATGCAAGATATGACTGATAGAACAAGTACAATCAAAAATCAAATAGAAAGAATTACCGAAGAGAAAAAAAAAGTAACTCTAGAACTAGATATTAGTACTTACAAAAAAAGTTGTAGATTAGAGTTGTCAAAAAAGATTTGGCAAATAGTAAAACTAAAAAACATAATATGTAAATTTCATTATTTTAGAAAATTTTTCATTCAAAGAATATATAACGATATTTGTTTATCTACTATTCATATTTGCCAAACGAATACACAACTCTTTGTTGAATCGACAAAAAATTTGATTGAAAAATATATTTCCAAGAATGAAACAAATAAAAAAATAATTAATAAAAAAACTAAAAATACAATTCACTTTATTTCAAATATAAAAACTTATACTTATAATAGTTGTAAGAAAAATTCAGAAATTTTTTGTGATTTATCCAACTTGTCACAAGCATATGTATTTTACAAAATATCACAAACCGGGGTTGTTAACTTGTCTAAATTAAGATCCGTTCTTCAACATCATGGAACATCTTTCTTCCTTAAAACTCAAATGAAAGACTCCTTTCGAACACAAGGAATATTTCAGTCTGAAGTAATACATAAGAAACTTCAGCGGTCTATAACGAGTCAATGGAAAAATTGGTTAAGAGGGAATTATCAATACGATTTATCTCAGATTATCTGGTCTAGCTTAATGTCACAAAAACAAAAATGGCGAAATAGGGTTAATCGATATTGTAGGTCTCAAAAAAAAGATTTAAAAAAATGGAATTCATGTGGAAAATACCAATTAAGTCATTACAAGAAAAAAAAGGGTCCTAACTCATTATCGAATCAAAAAGATAATTTTCAAAAATGCTATAGATATGATCTTTTATCATATAAATCCATTAATAATGAAAATAAAGGTGACTCGGTTTTTTATAGATCAATCCCTCAAGTAACTAAAAGGCAAGCGGTTTCTGATAATTACAACATGTCGCAAAACTCCTTGTTTGCGATAACAGGAAGTATCCCTATCAATATTTTTATAGGAAGAATAGAAAGGGTATATATTCCATATATAGAAAAAAATCTTAATAGAAAATATTTTAATTGGGAAAATATCTATTTTGATCTTAGAAAAAAAGTGGCTATTGAATCCTGGGTCGCGGTAAATCCCAGCAGTAATCAAAAGACTCGAATTGGGACTAATAATTTTCAATTAATTGATCCAATTGATAAAGAAGAAGAGGAAGAGATCAATCCCAGCAGTAATCAAAAGACTCCAATTGGGACTAATAAGGATGAAATATTTTATGCAATTGATAAAGAAGAAGAGGAAGAGATCAATCCCGAAGAAGAGATCAATCCCGAAGAAGAGATCAATCCCAGCAGTAATCAAAAGACTCCAATTGGGACTAATAACGATCAATTAATTGATCCAATTGATAAACAAGAAAAAGACCCTTTTTATATTCCGATTAATCAAAATCCAGAAATCAATCAACCTAATTCTCCAAATTCTTTTTTTGATTGGATGGGAATGAATGAACAAATACTAAATCGTCCCATCTCGAATCTGGAACTTTGGTTCTTCCCAGAATTTGTGCGGCTTTTTAATGTATATAAAACGAAACCGTGGATTATACCAAGCAAATTACTTCTTTTAAATTCGAATCTAAGTGAAACCGATAATAAAAAGAAAAACATCGCTGAAAACCAAAATCTTGAAGAAGAAGATTCCGCGAAATCAGACATGAAAAAAGGTACAAAGAAAAGTAAAACCAATAGTGAAAAGAAAAGTGAAACCGATAGTGAAAAGAAAAGTGAAACCGATAGTGAAAAGAAAAGTGAAACCGATAGTGAAAAGAAAAGTGAAACCGATAGTGAAAAGAAAAGTGAAACCGATAGTGAAAAGAAAAGTGAAACCGATAGTGAAAAGAAAAGTGAAACCGATAGTGAAAAGAAAAGTCTAAGTACAAGAGAGCTAAGAGAGTTATTCATGAAAAAGTATTTCCTTTTGCAATTGAGATGGGATCAAAGGAATATCGGTCAAAACATTCGCAAAAATGTCCGGATATTAGCTCTCCCGAAGAGCTCGATAAATCTAGAAACCATGACTCTATCATGCATTGAAAGGAGAAAATTACAATTGAATGTAATGTGGAAGTCGAAGAGCAATTTGAGTATTCTAAAATTTTTCAAAAGCATAGGAGTGGTTGTGGACCGCCTTGGACTGTCTGTAAAAAACAATGGGCAATTTCTTATGTATCAAACCATAGGTATTTCGTTGGTTCATAAGAGTAAAAACAAAACTAATCAACAATACCGAAAACAAAGAATAATTCGAGCTAGAGAGAACAATCATTTTGATGCGCTTGTTCTTGAAAATATTTTATCGTCTAGACGTCGTAGAGAATTGAGAATTCTAATTTGTTTCAATTCAAACAATTGGAATGATGTGGATACCAATTCCGTATTTTTCAACGAAAACGGGGTAAAAAACTGTAGTCACTTTTGGGAAGAAAGGAACCTTCGTGATAAGGAGAAAAATGAATTAATTCAATTCAAGTTTTTTCTTTGGCCCAATTATCGATTGGAAGATTTAGCTTGTATGAATCGTTATTGGTTTGATACTAATAACGGCAGTCGTTTCAGTATCTTAAGGATCCACATGTATCTACCATTGAAAATTCGTTGATAGTATTACTATATACCCTGTAGCAGGGTATATGATAGAAAACAAATGCACACATGCCTTATCTTATACCTCATTCGAATCTCACTGAATAGAGGATACAGCGTATCCATTAGACCTATAAATTATCAATGAATCCAAAGATATTCATTTCATTTTAGGTCTAATTGATTCACTTTTGTGAATACAAAAATGTACGAGATTCTTATCTGAATTCAAAATAGGATTTTGAATTCATTGGAATGGATAAACTGAGGAGTTCAGAAAGCAATTTATTCTATATCAATCATTCAAATTATTGGCATTCTTTTTATTGATCAATAAAATTCGTTAAAATATATATCAGGGAAGGGGATCAATTCTTTTTTTATGGTAAAAAACTTATTCATTTCGGTTATTTCTCAAGAAGAAACCAAAGAAAACAGAGGGTCCGTTGAATTTCAAATATTCAATTTCACCAATAAGATACAGAGACTTACTTCCCATTTAAAATTGCACAAAAAAGACTATTTATCTCAGAAAGGTTTGCGTAAAATTTTGGGAAAACGTCAACGGCTGCTAGCTTATTTGTCAAAAAAAAATAAAGTACGTTATAAAGAATTAATTGAGAAATTGGATATTCGAGAGACAAAAACTCATTAATTTTTAATTTGAGGAGTCATTTGTTTTTAACTTATTTGTTTCGTTTCAATTTTGATGAACCTCTTTTCACATTCAGCAATTCATGGAAGAATTACATGGAAGAACGAATCGGTAAAAAATTTATGACTGCACCAGCTACAAGAAAAGACCTCATGATAGTCAATATGGGTCCTCACCACCCATCAATGCATGGTGTTCTTCGACTTATTCTTACTCTCGATGGTGAAGATGTTATTGACTGCGAACCAATATTGGGTTATTTACACAGAGGGATGGAGAAAATTGCGGAAAACCGAACAATTATACAATATTTGCCCTATGTCACACGTTGGGATTATTTAGCTACTATGTTTACAGAAGCAATAACCGTAAATGGACCTGAACGATTGAGCAATATTCAAGTACCTAAAAGAGCTAGCTATATCAGAGTCATTATGTTGGAGTTAAGTCGTATAGCTTCCCATTTGTTATGGCTCGGTCCATTTATGGCGGATATTGGGGCGCAGACTCCTTTCTTCTATATTTTTCGAGAAAGAGAGTTGATATATGACCTATTCGAAGCTGCCACCGGTATGCGAATGATGCATAATTTTTTTCGTATCGGGGGAGTAGCTGCTGATCTACCCCATGGCTGGATAGATAAATGTTTGGATTTTTGCAATTATTTTTTAACAGGGGTTGCTGAATATCAAAAACTTATTACACAGAATCCCATTTTTTTAGAACGAGTTGAAGGTATAGGCACTATTAGGGCAGAAGAAGCACTCAATTGGGGTTTATCCGGACCAATGCTACGAGCTTCGGGAATCGAATGGGATCTTCGTAAAATCGATCAGTATGAGTGTTACGACGAATTTGCTTGGGAGGTTCAATGGCAAAAAGAGGGGGATTCTTTAGCTCGTTATTTAGTAAGAATCGGCGAAATGGAAGAATCCATAAAAATGATTCAACAGGCCCTGGAAGGAATTCCGGGGGGGCCTTATGAGAATTTAGAAATCCGACGTTTTGATAGAGTAAAACATCCCCAATGGAATGATTTTGAATACCGATTCATTGCTAAAAAAACCTCTCCTATTTTTGAATTATCGAAGCAAGAACTTTATGTGAGAGTCGAAGCTCCAAAGGGAGAATTGGGAATTTTTCTGATAGGAGATCAGAGCGTTTTTCCTTGGAGATGGAAAATTCGTCCACCGGGTTTGATCAATTTGCAAATTCTTCCTCAGGTGGTTAAAAGAATGAAATTGGCTGATATTATGACGATACTAGGTAGCATAGATATCATTATGGGGGAAGTTGATCGTTGAAATGATAATTGATACAACACAAATCCAGGCTATCCATTCCTTTTCCGGATTGGAATCCGTAAAAGTCAAAGAAGTCTATGGGATCATATGGATACTTGCCCCTATTTTTACTATTGTATTAGGAATCACAATGGGTTTACTAGTAATTGTTTGGTTAGAAAGGGAAATATCCGCGGGAATACAACAACGTATTGGCCCCGAATATGCGGGTCCTTTAGGAATTCTTCAAGCTTTAGCAGATGGTATCAAACTCCTTTTGAAAGAAAGCCTTCTTCCATCTCGAGGGGATACTCGCTTATTCCGTATCGGACCTTCCATAGCAGTGATATCCGTTTTTCTAAGTTATTTAGTAATTCCTTTTGGTTATAAGCTTGTTTTAGCCGATCTTAGTATTGGGGTTTTTTTCTGGATCGCCGCTTCAAGTATTGCTCCCGTTGGACTTCTTATGTCCGGATATGGATCAAATAATAAATATTCCTTTTTAGGTGGTCTACGGGCAGCTGCTCAATCAATTAGTTATGAAATACCCTTAGCTTTATGTGTATTATCAATTTCTCTGCGTGTGATTCGATCAGGTATAAAAAAGCTCTATGCGTCTTGGTAGTTTTGACTTGTGAGATCGAACAACTATTAATTTCCTCTTAAAACCCGAAGTTCAATAAAATTATGATTATGATAACTAGAAATATGCTAACTAGAAATCAATTTTTTCTTTTTGCACCCACAATGCAATTTTTTGCTTCGCTTATTACTAGCGAAGCAAAAAAAACACTTTAAAAGATAAAAGAAAAGTAATTCTTTATCATTTTTGAGTAATATTTCTAGTAATATTTCTTATGTCTATCTCTTTTTTTTTCTATGGATGCTATATATGCGGTATTTTTATTTTCATATTTTTATTCAATGTTTTTATTTTATAAGAATAATCCTTCTAAGTTTCTAACTTTTAAGATCTTTAGGGTGATTTATTCTTTTTTTTATATACATATTTTTTTGTGTTCGTAGTTCTTCTAGAGTATTGGATACTTGGGGATGATAAAGGAAACTAGATAGTTATATGAGTGAAAAAAAAGCGGCTTCGAATTTGGCAGTACAACAATTAAGTCTTCTTTCCTATGTACAAGAATAAAGTTAAAAAAGCAAACATAAAAAAGTTTTATTATGTTTGCTTTTTACCCCCAAGCTTGGTGGATTAGTCATCATAGTCGGAAGCGGGTTTCAAAGATCAACTGTATGGAGTTTTTACTATCTATATATTCTAGATGTATTTCCATAACGGGAGATTTCAAAAACGAGTGGATGGGTAGGAAGACCAAGATACACAAAGGATTTGTAATAAAGATTATGTAAGTTATCCAACAAGATATTTCTCTACATATAAGGAATTCAAATGGGGACTTGAAGTTAGTAGAAATAATCAAGAAGTACTCCCCACGATCCTGATCCAGAGTATCCTCCTATTCACGGATTAAGAAAATAACTATAAAGAACGAAGTAATCTTTTACTTTGGTCCAAGTGCCCTTTTTTCTGAGAAAGGAGAATAGGAGCGAAATAAAAAGGTGAGATTGATTTTATTCGGCATAGGAAATAAAATAAATCAAGAGACAAAATCTTTATTACGATTCATGAACAAATGCCGAATTCTTTTTCGTAATTGAAGAAAATGAGAGGTTGAAATGTGTATATGATATTGCTACAAACAAAACAAATTTTTTGTTTTATTGAAAGATGAAGTTATTAATAAACAAAGACCAACGAAAATTCTTAAAAGATTGAGATCAATTCCGAAGCACTTAATTTATATAGCAGACAGAATTCAATTGGTATAATTCGGGACCGTAGAGTATTTATTTTTTGACTCTATCTATCCGACACCCATATCAATAATATGGAAGAGTCCTTACATTTATTTTTGACTTCTGAGGAGCCGTATGAGATGAAAATCTCATGTACGGTTCTGGAATAGCGACGATAACAGTAATGTTATCATCGACTATGATTATCTAACAGTTCAAGTACAGTTGATATAGTTGAAGCGCAGTCAAAGTATGGTTTTTGGGGGTGGCATTTGTGGCGTCAACCGATAGGGTTTATCATTTTTATAATTTCTTCTTTAGCCGAATGCGAGCGATTACCTTTTGATTTACCAGAAGCGGAAGAAGAATTAGTAGCGGGGTATCAAACCGAATATTCAGGCATCAAATTTGGTTTATTTTACGTTGCTTCATATCTGAATCTACTAATTTCTTCATTATTTGTAACAGTTCTTTACTTAGGGGGTTGGAATCTTTCTATTCCATACATATTTCTTCCTGAGCTTTTTGACATAACTAAAAGGGGTAAAGTCTTTGGAACAATAGTAAGTATCGTTATTACATTAGCTAAAACCTTTTCGTTCTTGTTCATTTCTATTGCAACAAGATGGACTTTACCAAGGCTCAGAATGGACCAACTATTAAATCTTGGATGGAAATTTCTTTTACCTATTTCTCTAGGTAATCTATTATTAACAACTTCGTCTCAACTTCTTTCACTGTAAAAGACTACAATATTCAAGATTGACGGCTTGCCTCAAACAAGAGAAAGAAACAAGCATAAATTTTTTATAGATATTCACGATATGTTCCCTATGGTAACTGAACTCAGGAATTATGGTCAACAAACAATACGAGTTGCCAGGTATATCGGCCAAGGTTTCATGATTACCCTGTCCCATGCAAATCGTTTACCCGTAACTATTCAATATCCCTATGAAAAATTGATCACACCAGAACGCTTTCGAGGCCGAATCCATTTTGAATTTGATAAATGCATTGCTTGTGAAGTTTGTGTTCGTGTATGTCCTATAGATTTACCTGTTGTTGATTGGCAATTGGAAACAGATATTCGCAAGAAACGATTGCTTAATTACAGTATTGATTTTGGACTTTGTATATTTTGCGGTAATTGTGTTGAATATTGTCCAACAAATTGTTTATCAATGACTGAAGAATATGAACTTTCTACTTATGATCGGCATGAATTGAATTTTAATCAAATTGCTTTGGGTCGGTTACCAATGTCAGTAATTGAGGATTATACAATTCGAAAAATTTCGAATTTACCTCAAATCAAAAATGAATAAACTATTGATTAAACAAAATTACCAATTACTAAGCTCAGTTTGGGTCTAAAAAAATGATATTCTTTTGCTTGGTCAATTCAACCTATTGATTGGTTAGTGAGACTCGTAACTTCGTTTGGCTAGAAAATTGATTTCTATGTTTAGATTATTGTTCTAGTAACTAGTCAAAATAATGATTTCAAAAAGAATAAATGAGATAAGAATAAACAGGGTTTTTCTTTGGATGAATAAAGAATGACATATGAATAACTTCTTTTTCCTGGTGAGGTCAATAAAATCATGAAATTCTTCGATTTATATTTTTTTTTAGAATTGATAAAAAATGGATTTACCTGGACCAATACATGATTTTCTTTTAGTTTTTTTAGGATCAGGTCTTATATTAGGGAGTATAGGAGTAGTATTATTTCCCAATCCAATTTATTCGGCCTTTTCGTTGGGATTGGTTCTTGTTTGTATATCCTTATTCTATATTCTATCTAACTCCTATTTTGTAGCTGCTGCACAACTACTCATTTATGTAGGAGCTATAAATGTTTTAATTCTTTTTGCTGTGATGTTCTTGAATGGTTCAGAATATTCAAATGATTTTCCTCTTTGGACCCTTGGAGATGGTATTACTTCACAAGTTTGTATAAGTCTTTTTATTTCACTAATTTCGACTATTCTAGATACGTCATGGTACGGTATTATTTGGACTACACGATCAAACCAGATTATCGAGCAAGATTTGATAAGCAATAGTCAACAAATTGGAATTCATTTATCAACAGATTTTTTTCTTCCATTTGAACTCATTTCAATAATTCTTTTAGTTGCTCTAATAGGTGCAATTGTTATAGCTCGTCAATAAAAAAGTGATATTCAAATTTTCAAAGAATTCAAATAAAACTTGTACCCCATTCATTTTCCTTCAATTCTTTTTTTCCTGTATACTGTATAAATCTAAAATTGAAAGCCTTTAGCGTGAAGTCAATCTATTACCGCTAGATTTTGTTGTTACATATTTGTTATACAGTAGTCAATCGAATCGGTTGAATTGTTTTTTCTTATTGAAAAAAGTCAAGATTGATAATGATAAGGAGTTTTTGAATGATGCTCGAGCATGCCCTTGTGTTGAGTGCCTTTTTATTTTCTATCGGTATCTATGGATTGATCACAAGTCGAAATATGGTTAGAGCCCTTATGTGTCTTGAACTTATACTTAATGCAGTTAATATGAATTTGGTAACCTTTTCGTATTTTTTTGATAATCGTCAATTAAAAGGAGACATTTTCTCAATTTTTATTATAGCTATTGCAGCTGCTGAAGCAGCTATTGGGCTGGCTATTGTTTCCTCAATTTATCGTAACAGAAAATCAACTCGTATTGACCAATCAAATTTGTTGAATAATTAGTATGAATCCTATAAATTCTAATATTGAGTGTTGATAAATTGATTAGAATTCGCATGTAGGTTTGCTACATCTACATAAGGTATGATCATGTTTGCAAAAACATAATAAATCAAAGTATTTTAGCCCTCTCTCCTAAACCAATCCAGAAGTAGATTGATTAGAAAAATTCTAATAACTCATTGATTCATCTGGTATCTAAAAAAGGGATTCGTTTATCAAGGTTACTAGATCGAAAATTTATGACGTTAAGAACTCTATAGATCCAATGTCACATTCCGTAAAGATTTATGATACATGTATAGGATGTACTCAATGTGTCCGAGCCTGCCCTACCGATGTATTAGAAATGATACCGTGGGACGGATGTAAGGCTAAACAAATTGCTTCCGCTCCAAGAACAGAGGACTGTGTTGGTTGTAAGAGATGTGAATCCGCTTGTCCAACAGATTTCTTGAGTGTCCGAGTTTATTTATGGCATGAAACAACTCGCAGTATGGGTCTAGCTTATTAATATGTTCCAGAAAACTATACCGGAATCCATTTCATTTTTTTACTGAAAACCCGTGCCTCAAATATTTTGATTTTCGAGCACGGGTTTTGTGGGCCAAGTGTATCTTGTCTTTACCACGAATTTTTTTCCTTGGTTAACAATAATTGTCGTTTTTCCAATATTTGCGGGTTCCATCGTTTTCTTTCTTCCCCATAAAGGAAATAGGGTAATTAGATGGTATACACTTTGTATATGTATTTTAGAACTCCTTATAACGACTTATACATTTTGTTTTCATTTCCAGGTGGACGATCCATTAATCCAACTAGAGGAGACTTATAAATGGATCAATTTTTTTGATTGCCATTGGAGATTGGGAATAGATGGACTTTCTGTAGGCCCTATTTTATTGACAGGATTTATAACCACTTTAGCTACTTTAGCGGCCCGGCCAGTTACTCGCGATTCTCGATTATTTCATTTCCTGATGTTAGCAATGTACAGTGGTCAAATAGGATTATTTGCTTCTCGAGACCTTTTCCTTTTTTTCATCATGTGGGAATTAGAATTAATTCCCGTTTATCTACTTCTATCCATGTGGGGGGGGAAGAAACGTCTATACTCAGCTACAAAATTTATTTTGTATACGGCAGGGGGTTCCATTTTTCTATTAATGGGAGTTTTGGGTCTTACTTTATATGGTTCGAATGAACCAACATTCAATTTTGAAACATCAGTAAATCAGTCATACCCCGCGGCTTTAGAAATAATATTCTATATTGGATTTTTTATTGCTTTTGCTGTCAAATCACCTATTTTACCCCTACATACATGGTTACCTGATACCCACGGAGAAGCACATTACAGTACTTGTATGCTTCTAGCCGGAATCTTATTAAAAATGGGAGCATATGGATTGATTCGAATCAATATGGAATTATTTCCTCACGCCCATTCTCTATTTTCTCCCTATTTGGTGATAGTAGGCACAATCCAAATGATCTATGCAGCTTTAACATCTCTTGGACAACGAAATTTAAAAAGACGAATAGCCTATTCCTCTGTATCTCATATGGGTTTTATAATTATAGGAATTGGTTCTATGACCGATACGGGACTTAATGGAGCTCTTTTACAAATAATTTCTCATGGATTTATTGGTGCTGCACTTTTTTTCTTGGCGGGAACGACTTATGATAGAATACGGCTTGTTTATCTTGACGAAATGGGGGGAATAGCTATTCAAATGCCAAAAATATTCACGATGTTCAGTAGCTTTTCAATGGCTTCCCTTGCATTACCAGGTATGAGCGGTTTTGTTGCCGAATTACTAGTATTTTTTGGAATAATTAGCGCCAAAAAATATCTTTTCATGTCCAAAATACTCATTTCTTTTGTAATGGCAATTGGAATTATATTAACTCCTATTTATTCATTATCTATGTTACGCCAGATGTTTTATGGATACAAGCTATTTAATGCCCCCAACTCTTCTTTTTTGGATTCTGGACCGCGAGAGTTATTTCTTTCTATCTCCATTTTGTTACCTGTCATAGGTATTGGTATGTACCCCGATTTCGTTCTTTCACTATCAGTTGAAAAGGTCGAAGTTATTCTATCTCATTTTTTTTATCGACAAGTCTTATAAATAAAACCAAAATCCTAAAAAAAAGTTTAAAAAAAAACGTTCGTTGTAAATGTAAAAAGGAAGGTTTTTTCTTCTCTTCAGTTAACTAAAAACAATCAATTTGAACCACCCGCGTACCGTTTGAATCAATACAATATTTGATTCAAACGGTACGTATGCTCGTTCACACAAAGTTTTAATCTTTATTATATCTTTTTTTATTATTCTAATTATTATAGTCTTTTAGCTTTTTTATTTATTATATACTGCACTCTCTTAGATTTGTAAGAACGTTTTTTGAATTCAACTAGATGTTGATGGAAATGAACCATAACTATGTAGACCTATTCCTACTAGATTGACTCCAAAATAGCATATCCAAATTATAAGAAAGCCTATAGATGCCACAATAGATGCTACAATTGCGGAATTTACACTCTGCAAATTTAGATTTGTTCGAGTATGTAAAAAAATTGCGAATACAATCCAAGTAATAAAAGCCCAAGTTTCTTTTGGGTCCCAACTCCAATAAGATCCCCACGCTTCGTTAGCCCACACCGCTCCCGAAAGTATTCCTATGGTTAAAAAGAGAAATCCTAGACTAATAACCCGATAACTCCAAAAATCCAATTGTTGAATGAATTGGGTCCTATAATAATTCTTAGCAGAAAAAAAAGAAGTCTTTTGAAAAAGATTTTCCCCAAATAAAAATGACTCAGTTAAAAAATCGTTGCCCCCTGAAAAAAGCTTTCCGTTTTTTCGAAATGTAATGACCAGAAGTGCTACTGATAATAATGATCCGCATAAAAGGGCTGCATAGCCCAATATCATCATACTTACGTGCATTATTAACCACTCGGATTTAAGAGCGGGTACTAATATTGAAGATTGATGTATTTCTGTTAAAAGACCTGAAGTAGCAAAACCTTGGGTAAAAATAGCGCTTGGGCTGATTATTTTGCTTAAAAATTTTGTATTTTTTGTGAAATACGGAATGATATGAATCAGAGCGAAACTCCATGAAAGGAAAATGAATGATTCATATAAATCACTTAGTGGGAAATGTTCCGAAGAAATCCAATGAGTAGCTAATAATCCTGTTATACAGAAAAAAGTTACTAGCATGCCCTTTTCTGATGAATCATATAGTTTTCTTATTTCGTCGACTAAAAATATTATCAAATGAATTGTCATTAAAATTAAAATGATCGAAAGGGAAATATGAGTTAATATATGCTCTAAGGTTGAAAATATCATAAAAAAAGCTTAAACAACGAAGAGTCTAGCCCCCCAATTACCTAAGAAAAATGAAATCGGGAATTGAATTCCTTATAAGATTATAAGGTCTATTTTCTTTTTTTAGAAGACGGTATGCCGCCACTCGGACTCGAACCGAGATGCGCTAGCACTGCTTCCTAAGAGCAGCGTGTCTACCAATTTCACCATAGCGGCGTGTCGTGAACCCATAATAGTCTAATTCATTATAGGCTATGAGTAAGCAAACGTCAAGATTTGAAAGGTAAATTCAGTATAGTCTGGTTCAATTTTATACATAAAAATTTCTTGAAATATGAATTTGAAAGTTTATTATTTGAGTTTAGAGTCTTTGTTTTATTTCACTTATACTTATTACTTACGGTTTTCGTGTATTTTTGGATCGCTTGCAATTAAACTCCGGTAACTAGATAGTTTGATTCGTAACTAGGGGTCGAATTCAAAACAAAAATTTTGGTTTTCATTTTTTTGTCTTGATTTCAAAAATCAAAACAAAAAAATGAATTTTAGCAATACCTATATACCTATTTTAAAACACTCATAATTAACCGATTCTGCAGATATAACATACTCATTTTCTTATTTTATACTTATACTTTAAAAATTGGGGCGTCAATATTTATTACATGACAAGATAGTCTTGGGGATCCGTATAAGAATTCATCAAAAAGAAAAAGTCAGAAAGTTACCCAAAATAAAAAAGGGTTTCAATTTTCAAAAGTAATTCATAAGTTTCAACGATTCGTTAACTAAACCGAAAGATCTTCATATCCGCCTTATTGTATTACTTTACTCTATTTATTAATTTATTATATTATTTTATAAAAGTGTTACTTGTCATAAACAAATAGGTTGATGCGGAAAATAAGACTCGTCCCCTCGAAATGATGTTTGGGAACCTTCGAAGGTATTCTTTTTTTAAGTTAAGTAAAAAGATGAGTAAATCTAGGATTTCGTATTCTCGTATCATAAGAGCTAAGAGCAAGGCATTCGATTTCCCAGTTCTATATTAACTCTAAATAATAAATCAATAGAAAGCCGAAGTCATAAAATTTTAGTCTAAAAAAAAAGAAAGTCGACTCAGATTATTCCAACGTTTTTTTATTTGTTTGTGATACAAAAAAACTTTTCAAATTCCCGGTCGAAAGGGATTTTCCTAACGAAAAAGCTTTTAATGCTGTCCAAAAGCTCTTTCTTTTCCAAGTATTTTTACGAATACGCTTTTTTGATTTCGAAATACGTTTTTTTGGAACTGCCATTTAAAAATGAAGAAATTACTTAATTTTAGGTTAAAACTGGATGTGAAAGACATCTATTGCGCAAAATGAATCGTTTTTACTATTTACTATCTAGCTTTTTTTTATTCTATCTTTTCTTATTATTGTCATAATATATTCGTAAAAACGATTCGTTTGTTTTGATTGCTATCTCTATTTCGCATTATTCATAAAATAAAATCTATAGAATTCGATGTGCTGTAGAAATCATCAAATTAGTTGAACTTCATCTTAGAATTCTAATTCTTATAATTCTAATGAAAAAGAAACTAAAACGGCCTTTCTGTCTATTTTCATCGTTCTACGTGCAATTGAAAGGTTTAAGATCAAAACCCTACTCTTGCTTAATGAAATTGAAAGCTGTAATCCTTTTCCCTTGGATAAAAAGAAAAGAGACCAAATTTTCCTTTGAAAAATAAAAGGAAACTGCTAATGAATCTATTTCAGATTATTTGACCAATTGTAACTTCTTGATTTGAATAATTGAAAGTTTTTAACTAAGAATAATTCACAATAGAAAATTCTATAAAGTTTATTTTAGTTGTCAGTTTGGTTTAAGTTAGTACATATTTTTTTCTTTTTTATTGACTCTTTTCAAAAGAGATAAAATAAAATCGGGTGAATCGGAAATAATTAATTAAGACTCAAACTGTTTATGGAACAAACATATCAATATGCGTGGATCATACCTTTTGTTCCCCTTCTAGTTCCTATGTTAATAGGAGCAGGACTTCTTATTTTTCCCACGGTAACAAAAAATCTTCGTCGTATGTGGTCTTTTCAGAGTGTTTTATTGTTAAGTATAGTCATGGCATTTTCAATCTATCTATCTATTCAGCAAATAAATAGGGGTTCTATCTATCAATATGTATGGTCTTGGATAATAAATAATGATTTTTCTTTTGAATTCGGTTACTTGATCGACCCACTTACTTCTATTATGTCAATATTAGTCACTACTGTTGGAATTTTGGTTCTTATTTATAGTGATAATTATATGGCTCATGATCAAGGATATTTGAGATTTTTTACTTATATGAGTTTTTTCTGTGCTGCCATGTTGGGATTAGTTACTAGTTCTAATTTTATACAAATTTATATTTTTTGGGAATTGGTTGGACTATGTTCCTATCTATTAATAGGGTTTTGGTTTACACGACCTGGTGCGGCAAATGCTTGCCAAAAAGCGTTTGTAACTAATCGTGTAGGGGATTTTGGCTTATTATTAGGAATTTTAGGCTTTTATTGGATAACAGGCAGTTTTGAATTTCGGGAGTTATTCCAAATATTGAATAATTTGATTTCGAGCAAAGAGGTCAATCTTTTATTTGTTACTTTATGCGCTGCGCTGTTATTTGTCGGTGCAATTGCGAAATCCGCGCAATTTCCTCTTCATGTCTGGTTACCCGATGCCATGGAGGGACCTACTCCGATTTCGGCTCTTATACATGCTGCTACCTTAGTAGCAGCGGGAATTTTTCTTGTAGCTAGGCTTCTTCCTCTTTTCTTAGTTATACCTTACATAATGTATTTCATCTCCTTGATAGGAATCATAACAGTTTTATTAGGAGCTACTTTAGCTCTTGCTCAACAAGACATTAAAAGAGGTTTAGCTTATTCCACAATGTCTCAATTGGGTTATATGATGTTAGCTCTAGGAATGGGGTCTTACCGAAGTGCTTTATTTCATTTGATTACTCATGCTTATTCCAAGGCATTATTATTCTTAGCAGCTGGATCCGTTATTCATTCAATGGAGACTATTATTGGTTATTCTCCCGAAAAAAGTCAGAATATGGTTATTATGGGCGGTTTAACAAAACACGTACCGATAACCAAAGGTGCTTTTTTATTAGGTACACTTTCACTTTGTGGTATTCCGCCCCTTGCTTGTTTTTGGTCAAAAGATGAAATTCTTAATGATAGCTGGCTTTATTCGCCGATTTTCGCCCTAATAGCTTGGGGCACAGTGGGATTAACCGCATTTTATATGTTTCGGATTTATTTAATGACTTTTGAAGGACATTTAAACGTTGGTTTTAAAAATTATAGTGGAAAAAAAAATAACCCTGCTGATTCAATGTCTCTATGGGGAAAAAAGGGTTCAAAGCCAATTAACAAAAATTTTCGCTTTTTCACAATTGATGAGAAAGGGGAGAATCAAACCAAAATTTCTTATACTTCTGATCCTTTTGAGTCAGAAAATACTATGTTATTTCCACAAATTCTATTGTGTTTTGTAACTTTTGTAATTGGATTCTTAGGAATTCCGAAGGAGCTTGGTTTCAATCTCGACATCTTAACCCAATGGTTACATCCTGCTATTTATCTTTTGCATCACACTAATTCAACAGATTTAGCCGAGTTTTTAAAGCATACGGTAATTTCCGTGGGGATTGCTTATTGCGGAATATTTATAGCATTTTTATTATATAAACCCACCTATTCGTCTTTCAAAAGTTTTCTATTAATTAATTCGTTTCATCAAAAAAGCCTTAAGAGAGTTATTCGCGACAAAATAGTCTTTGTCATATATGACTGGGCCTATAATCGTGCTTATATAGATACTTTTTATAAGAATTTTTTTGTTTGCCAAGTACGAAGGTTTTCTCAAATTATTCGTTGTTTTGATTTAAGAATTATTGACCAAATATTTAATTGTTTTGCTTTTCTTAGTTTTATTGCTAGCGAAGGTATCAAATATTTAGGATATGCGAGAATTCCTTTTTATTTGTTTTTTTATTTCTTTTTTGTATCAATCTTTATTTTTCTGTTTTACAAAAATTAAGAAAACTCAATTATACTAGGTTAAAAAAAAACTTACCCAAATTAAGTTCTTATGTTTAAAATTACTTAAATTGGGTAAGAGTTTTCTATTGGCTATACGACTATAATTACAGGATTTATTTCTTTCATTTGTTTCATTAGTAGGACGCGAAGGTTCTCCTCCCCAAAGAGGAGAAAGTTCTAATTCAAAAATAGTAGAAGGTTCGAATCGCAAAATAGGAGGAGTTTCTTCTTCCAAATTACGATCAAAATATATCCAAGATAACATCTTATGATATTTTCTGAGTAGGAAATCTCTTTCATTCAAAGAATCATTGCGCTCGCTCAGTACAAACTGAGCTTCTCTCAGTGCATTTGTAGTTCGGATTAAAGAATGTCCTTCCTTTTTCAAAGAACCCTCTGGAGCTTGTATAGTAGCTTGTGCTCGTTCCAAGGCAGCTGTATTTTCTAAAAAATAATCTATTAATTCTTTTAAATTCACCTTTTCTGCCTCAAGTGCGAATTCGCTTTCCAATATATCGGCTGTTTGCCTTTCTAGTTCAGCGCTTTCTTCTCTAAAAGAGACTTTTTTATTTTCAATATCAGAGATTCTGCCTAAAAAGGAATATTTATTATTTGATCCATATCCGGACATAAGAAGTCCAACGGGAGCAATACTTGAAGCGGCGATCCAGAAAAAAACCCCAATACTAAGATCGGCTAAAACAAGCTTATAACCAAAAGGAATTACTAAATAACTTAGAAAAACGGATATCACTGCTATGGAAGGTCCGATACGGAATAAGCGAGTATCCCCTCGAGATGGAAGAAGGCTTTCTTTCAAAAGGAGTTTGATACCATCTGCTAAAGCTTGAAGAATTCCTAAAGGACCCGCATATTCGGGGCCAATACGTTGTTGTATTCCCGCGGATATTTCCCTTTCTAACCAAACAATTACTAGTAAACCCATTGTGATTCCTAATACAATAGTAAAAATAGGGGCAAGTATCCATATGATCCCATAGACTTCTTTGACTTTTACGGATTCCAATCCGGAAAAGGAATGGATAGCCTGGATTTGTGTTGTATCAATTATCATTTCAACGATCAACTTCCCCCATAATGATATCTATGCTACCTAGTATCGTCATAATATCAGCCAATTTCATTCTTTTAACCACCTGAGGAAGAATTTGCAAATTGATCAAACCCGGTGGACGAATTTTCCATCTCCAAGGAAAAACGCTCTGATCTCCTATCAGAAAAATTCCCAATTCTCCCTTTGGAGCTTCGACTCTCACATAAAGTTCTTGCTTCGATAATTCAAAAATAGGAGAGGTTTTTTTAGCAATGAATCGGTATTCAAAATCATTCCATTGGGGATGTTTTACTCTATCAAAACGTCGGATTTCTAAATTCTCATAAGGCCCCCCCGGAATTCCTTCCAGGGCCTGTTGAATCATTTTTATGGATTCTTCCATTTCGCCGATTCTTACTAAATAACGAGCTAAAGAATCCCCCTCTTTTTGCCATTGAACCTCCCAAGCAAATTCGTCGTAACACTCATACTGATCGATTTTACGAAGATCCCATTCGATTCCCGAAGCTCGTAGCATTGGTCCGGATAAACCCCAATTGAGTGCTTCTTCTGCCCTAATAGTGCCTATACCTTCAACTCGTTCTAAAAAAATGGGATTCTGTGTAATAAGTTTTTGATATTCAGCAACCCCTGTTAAAAAATAATTGCAAAAATCCAAACATTTATCTATCCAGCCATGGGGTAGATCAGCAGCTACTCCCCCGATACGAAAAAAATTATGCATCATTCGCATACCGGTGGCAGCTTCGAATAGGTCATATATCAACTCTCTTTCTCGAAAAATATAGAAGAAAGGAGTCTGCGCCCCAATATCCGCCATAAATGGACCGAGCCATAACAAATGGGAAGCTATACGACTTAACTCCAACATAATGACTCTGATATAGCTAGCTCTTTTAGGTACTTGAATATTGCTCAATCGTTCAGGTCCATTTACGGTTATTGCTTCTGTAAACATAGTAGCTAAATAATCCCAACGTGTGACATAGGGCAAATATTGTATAATTGTTCGGTTTTCCGCAATTTTCTCCATCCCTCTGTGTAAATAACCCAATATTGGTTCGCAGTCAATAACATCTTCACCATCGAGAGTAAGAATAAGTCGAAGAACACCATGCATTGATGGGTGGTGAGGACCCATATTGACTATCATGAGGTCTTTTCTTGTAGCTGGTGCAGTCATAAATTTTTTACCGATTCGTTCTTCCATGTAATTCTTCCATGAATTGCTGAATGTGAAAAGAGGTTCATCAAAATTGAAACGAAACAAATAAGTTAAAAACAAATGACTCCTCAAATTAAAAATTAATGAGTTTTTGTCTCTCGAATATCCAATTTCTCAATTAATTCTTTATAACGTACTTTATTTTTTTTTGACAAATAAGCTAGCAGCCGTTGACGTTTTCCCAAAATTTTACGCAAACCTTTCTGAGATAAATAGTCTTTTTTGTGCAATTTTAAATGGGAAGTAAGTCTCTGTATCTTATTGGTGAAATTGAATATTTGAAATTCAACGGACCCTCTGTTTTCTTTGGTTTCTTCTTGAGAAATAACCGAAATGAATAAGTTTTTTACCATAAAAAAAGAATTGATCCCCTTCCCTGATATATATTTTAACGAATTTTATTGATCAATAAAAAGAATGCCAATAATTTGAATGATTGATATAGAATAAATTGCTTTCTGAACTCCTCAGTTTATCCATTCCAATGAATTCAAAATCCTATTTTGAATTCAGATAAGAATCTCGTACATTTTTGTATTCACAAAAGTGAATCAATTAGACCTAAAATGAAATGAATATCTTTGGATTCATTGATAATTTATAGGTCTAATGGATACGCTGTATCCTCTATTCAGTGAGATTCGAATGAGGTATAAGATAAGGCATGTGTGCATTTGTTTTCTATCATATACCCTGCTACAGGGTATATAGTAATACTATCAACGAATTTTCAATGGTAGATACATGTGGATCCTTAAGATACTGAAACGACTGCCGTTATTAGTATCAAACCAATAACGATTCATACAAGCTAAATCTTCCAATCGATAATTGGGCCAAAGAAAAAACTTGAATTGAATTAATTCATTTTTCTCCTTATCACGAAGGTTCCTTTCTTCCCAAAAGTGACTACAGTTTTTTACCCCGTTTTCGTTGAAAAATACGGAATTGGTATCCACATCATTCCAATTGTTTGAATTGAAACAAATTAGAATTCTCAATTCTCTACGACGTCTAGACGATAAAATATTTTCAAGAACAAGCGCATCAAAATGATTGTTCTCTCTAGCTCGAATTATTCTTTGTTTTCGGTATTGTTGATTAGTTTTGTTTTTACTCTTATGAACCAACGAAATACCTATGGTTTGATACATAAGAAATTGCCCATTGTTTTTTACAGACAGTCCAAGGCGGTCCACAACCACTCCTATGCTTTTGAAAAATTTTAGAATACTCAAATTGCTCTTCGACTTCCACATTACATTCAATTGTAATTTTCTCCTTTCAATGCATGATAGAGTCATGGTTTCTAGATTTATCGAGCTCTTCGGGAGAGCTAATATCCGGACATTTTTGCGAATGTTTTGACCGATATTCCTTTGATCCCATCTCAATTGCAAAAGGAAATACTTTTTCATGAATAACTCTCTTAGCTCTCTTGTACTTAGACTTTTCTTTTCACTATCGGTTTCACTTTTCTTTTCACTATCGGTTTCACTTTTCTTTTCACTATCGGTTTCACTTTTCTTTTCACTATCGGTTTCACTTTTCTTTTCACTATCGGTTTCACTTTTCTTTTCACTATCGGTTTCACTTTTCTTTTCACTATCGGTTTCACTTTTCTTTTCACTATTGGTTTTACTTTTCTTTGTACCTTTTTTCATGTCTGATTTCGCGGAATCTTCTTCTTCAAGATTTTGGTTTTCAGCGATGTTTTTCTTTTTATTATCGGTTTCACTTAGATTCGAATTTAAAAGAAGTAATTTGCTTGGTATAATCCACGGTTTCGTTTTATATACATTAAAAAGCCGCACAAATTCTGGGAAGAACCAAAGTTCCAGATTCGAGATGGGACGATTTAGTATTTGTTCATTCATTCCCATCCAATCAAAAAAAGAATTTGGAGAATTAGGTTGATTGATTTCTGGATTTTGATTAATCGGAATATAAAAAGGGTCTTTTTCTTGTTTATCAATTGGATCAATTAATTGATCGTTATTAGTCCCAATTGGAGTCTTTTGATTACTGCTGGGATTGATCTCTTCTTCGGGATTGATCTCTTCTTCGGGATTGATCTCTTCCTCTTCTTCTTTATCAATTGCATAAAATATTTCATCCTTATTAGTCCCAATTGGAGTCTTTTGATTACTGCTGGGATTGATCTCTTCCTCTTCTTCTTTATCAATTGGATCAATTAATTGAAAATTATTAGTCCCAATTCGAGTCTTTTGATTACTGCTGGGATTTACCGCGACCCAGGATTCAATAGCCACTTTTTTTCTAAGATCAAAATAGATATTTTCCCAATTAAAATATTTTCTATTAAGATTTTTTTCTATATATGGAATATATACCCTTTCTATTCTTCCTATAAAAATATTGATAGGGATACTTCCTGTTATCGCAAACAAGGAGTTTTGCGACATGTTGTAATTATCAGAAACCGCTTGCCTTTTAGTTACTTGAGGGATTGATCTATAAAAAACCGAGTCACCTTTATTTTCATTATTAATGGATTTATATGATAAAAGATCATATCTATAGCATTTTTGAAAATTATCTTTTTGATTCGATAATGAGTTAGGACCCTTTTTTTTCTTGTAATGACTTAATTGGTATTTTCCACATGAATTCCATTTTTTTAAATCTTTTTTTTGAGACCTACAATATCGATTAACCCTATTTCGCCATTTTTGTTTTTGTGACATTAAGCTAGACCAGATAATCTGAGATAAATCGTATTGATAATTCCCTCTTAACCAATTTTTCCATTGACTCGTTATAGACCGCTGAAGTTTCTTATGTATTACTTCAGACTGAAATATTCCTTGTGTTCGAAAGGAGTCTTTCATTTGAGTTTTAAGGAAGAAAGATGTTCCATGATGTTGAAGAACGGATCTTAATTTAGACAAGTTAACAACCCCGGTTTGTGATATTTTGTAAAATACATATGCTTGTGACAAGTTGGATAAATCACAAAAAATTTCTGAATTTTTCTTACAACTATTATAAGTATAAGTTTTTATATTTGAAATAAAGTGAATTGTATTTTTAGTTTTTTTATTAATTATTTTTTTATTTGTTTCATTCTTGGAAATATATTTTTCAATCAAATTTTTTGTCGATTCAACAAAGAGTTGTGTATTCGTTTGGCAAATATGAATAGTAGATAAACAAATATCGTTATATATTCTTTGAATGAAAAATTTTCTAAAATAATGAAATTTACATATTATGTTTTTTAGTTTTACTATTTGCCAAATCTTTTTTGACAACTCTAATCTACAACTTTTTTTGTAAGTACTAATATCTAGTTCTAGAGTTACTTTTTTTTTCTCTTCGGTAATTCTTTCTATTTGATTTTTGATTGTACTTGTTCTATCAGTCATATCTTGCATTTTAGTTTCTATCAGTGAAGAATTTGTCCAATCTGGAATTTGAATTTTTTGAATTTGACTAAAAGATTCATCAATTATCTGGTTGCTTATTCTAGAATCTTTTTCTTTTTCCATTCCACCTATTTCTCTCGATCTAAATAATAAAATTGGTTTACCCTTGGAGAGGTCTTTTTCTATAAACGGAAGATTTTGGTTTGTTGTTCTTGTTTCTTTTGAAACTTTTTTAAATAATTTTATTATTATTTTTTTTAAAACGCTTTCAGCTGTAACCTTTTCATATTTTCCAATTTTTTTTTCGAGTTCCTTTAAAATGGGCTCAAAAAAGGAAGGTGTTTTTCGGGGAGAGCCAAAAGGCAGTTCTGTTTCCCTTCCAAAAATTGTTAAAAAACAAACGTCATCACGAGAAGTTAGCGGTTTAGATGTGTGCCAAGGTTTCAGATGGAAAGGATATACAATCTTGATCTGAATACCTTGTGTCAACCAATTTTCCGGAAATTCTGTTTCGGATAACGGATTACCAGTATAAGTGCACTTAATATGCTTTTCTCTATTCCATTCCTCGAAATCTTCAGACCATTCAGGAATTTGCAATAATAGCATACGTCCAAGATTTTTACCGATTATCAATGAAGGTAATATAAGATTTTTTCTAAGACTTGATTGGGCTATTAAAATGCAACCCCTTAACATTTGGGTAATTTCAAAAGTATCCCAGGCTTCCCCTATCTCTAATCGCTTTTTTTCCTTTACTCGGTCGTTTTTCTTTTTAGATTCTCTTTTTGGTTTTTCTTCTCTTTTTGTTTGTTCGTCTGTAGACTCTAAAATCCTGAACCCTTTTCCCGCCGACCAATTTCTAAAAATTCGGTTCAGTTGAACCGGGCGGGGGATAGCAAAAGAAAAAAGTTTTTTTTTTTTTATCCTGTCAAAAAAAAGGGGGGAATGTGCATTTGCTTGAAACAGTTTCTCAATAACAATTTTACGCCTTTGAGTTCGCATAGAGCCTTTGATTAAGCCGTGCTTAAAATCGGGTTGGTGTGCATAACGCATCACAACAAGCCCCTTCTCTTCATCTTCTTTAGCCTCTTCTTCTGGGGTTTTAGTCTTGGTTTCTTTATTCACAGTATCAGTTTCTTTGCTAGCATTAGTCTTCGTTTCTTTATTCACAGTATCAGTCTCTTTGCTAGCATTAGTCTTGGTTTCTTTATCAACAGTATCAGTCTCTTTGCTAGCATTAGGCTTCGTTTCTTTATCAACAGTATCAGTCTCTTTGCTAGCATTAGGCTTCGTTTCTTTATTCACAGTATTAGTCTCTTTGCTAGCATTAGTCTTGGTTTCTTTATCAATAGTATCAGTCTCTTTGCTAGCATTAGGCTTCGTTTC